GATAGTGTCTGTGAATGGAGCCGCTGCCAGGACGAACACTGAACAAGTTACATACTGTAATTCCGTATCCGAACACCAAAAAACACTCTGGAATGGTCCAACGATTTTATCACTGAAACATGAACAAAAAGTACTAAAAAACTCACACCTTTTGTAATGTAGTCTATAGGTGCGCCTATTGCATGCATTATGAAATTTTCTGGAAACTCTGTTACGTGACGCTGATTATTGTGCTGAGACTGCAAGTGCACAACGATCACTGTCAAACTGCGGGATAACAAGTGATCATGTCGTGTGACAAAAAGAACGATATGTAACAGCATCCTCTACCATTACTGTCACAGCCGCGCGGTGTCCTTTTATCCTGGCCGGCCTGCCCGGGAAGCGGCGCTGTCCTTTTATCCTGGCCGGCCTGTCCGGCAAGTGTCGCAGTGTTGCAGTAACGAGCGCCGCCGTTGTGCCAATTGTCGGCCGGGCCGGGTGTGACGGTACCCGCCGCGTACCGGCTCGTTAGTCCGACTGTGAGCGCTGTCCGGTCCGCCGCGCCGACCGGCTACTGTCGGACGCCCGGCGATCACTGCACGTGTATCGCCATCCACTCAGCCGGCGCCTTGATGTCGCTCGTGTTCGGAAGCCGACCGGCACCTGGCGCGGTTACGGCGGCCGACCCAGGGCTACATGTGGACACCACCGGGAGTCGAACGGTGACAGCCGGGGCTCGGTGCCGGGGATCCCCCCCCCCCTGCTGCCTGCCCGGGGACTCCCCCACTACCCATCCTTTGTGAGCCACTGAAAGTGGGAAGCTGTAAGGCATTGCACATCCATATGCGGCTGCGCTGACAAGCAGCCCCGCGGTGGCGTTCAGAGGGTGTTGAAATGAAGTACCTATACCGCGATGGTTTGTTTTCGGTCGCAGGCCTGATACGGCCACGCATCTGACCTGCTGCGGCGGCTGGAGTGGCTCAGTGCTGATCAGCACCTGGTGTCGCGCCACACGCCCAGCCTGCTGCACAAGGTACACTGCTACCATATGATCGGGAAAAATTGGCTGTGGTCGGGGATTGTTTGTGCCAAAATTTGGCGTGTGCAATACATTATACACAGCCGGATACTCTGTCCCATTTGACTGACCTCAACTGGCCGCGGCTGCTCCCACCAACCTCAGACCATCCTCATCAGTCATCCAGAACCACACATAAATCGGGCGCCGGAGCGGCTCGAAGCAGTGCTCTCACCGACGGAAAATCACTGAGCTATATCTAGGAGACGGACGGAAGTTTGAAGCGTAAAGTTATTTCGGCTTGTTCGTGCCAAAGTGGATGGACCGATTCTGGAGTTATTCACTGGTTCGACGGAAAACAACACGTGATTGAGCGACTGACAAAGTGGAGCCGACAGTAGCTGAGCTCAGAGACAGAGCTGCGAATGCGTTATTCCGCCCCGTCCCACCGGCAGTTCAACGATAACCAACAGCAGGGCGTTGAAGAGCGGGATCAGTCAGTCTACCCGTGTCATCAGGTGGCTCCGCTCCCGCGGTGCACACTGTACATACAGGAAGTGGAGACTTTAAACGGCTGTCGGTGGATGGATCTACGATGTACGAGTACATACATACAGCTGTGCAGCAACTCCTCAGACCGGTCTGATGTGCCGTTCTAAGGCCGGAGCCCTGTGGCCGGAGCCCTGTGGCCGGAGCCATGTGGCCAGCTATGAGCTGCGACCCGCAGTTGCACTGAGCTTGCAGGTCAGGCAGACGGTACGACTGACAGACCACTGGACTGACAGACGGCTGGACTGACAGTAGTTTGTCACGCCGTCAGCCCCCTCCCCCCCCCCCCACACACACGTCAGTCCTGGTGTGGGCTTCTCCCGGTCAGAGTCGGCGCGACAGAGCCCAGGGAGGGGCAGAGCCCAGGGAGGGGCAGAGCCGAGGGGAAGACAGAGCCGAGGGGAAGACAGAGCCGAGGGAGGGACAGAGCCCAGGGAGGGGCAGAGCCGAGGGGAAGACAGAGCCGAGGGGAAGACAGAGCCGAGGGGAAGACAGAGCCGAGGGAGGGACAGAGCCGAGGTAGGGACAGAGCCGAGGGAAAGACAGAGCCGAGGCAGAGCGGAGGGAGGGAGACCCCTGAAGTGTTACCGGAAAAACGCGCAGGAAGGGGAGACGTCGGCGCCGGCTTCCTCTGAGCGCTCAGTCCTGGCGCCCTCACCACCGGGCGTGTCGGCGAGATGGTGCCGGGGTCGTTTCTGGGTCACGGGCGCTCATAGAGCGCTCTCCTGCGTCCTGGGTCACGGGCGCTCATATGGCGCTGTCCTTCGTCCTGGGTCACGGGCGCTCATACAGCGCTCTCCTTCGTCCTGGGTCACAGACGCTACTGTAGCGGTGCTGGCAAGTGGCTCTATCAAAATTCGGACACTACCATTAGTGCATGATACAAACGGACTGATAGTTGATACTTGTGTGTGCCCACAGTGTGCCGTCTGCCGAAGAAACAAGTCACCACTACCAGACATTCCTATTACTTGACAGCTGAACACTATGTAGAGTGAGCACTAGCGCGCTATGAGTTGGCGAGGTGGCCGCGGACGGCGCTGGGCCGGTGTGCGGCGGCGGCCGCTGCGGGCCCGGCCGGCAAACGCTCCGCATATTACAGGCCTCCGTAATCCCAGCACTGCACAGTGGGGATTTTTCCGATCTAGCGCCTATTAATTCAAAAAATCTTTTTTGGATTTTTGTTTATTTTTTGTGTCAGTGGGGCTAAGAAATGTCTGAATTTTTCATATATGGCATTGTTTTATCTGTATGTCTACAGCAAAACTAGGAAAAATGCGCCCAAAGTTCACACTCATGAGTGATTACTCAATAGGCTCAGCAAGGCCCGAAAGTATAGCTCAATTTCATTGTCCTGTCCTGTTGGTTTTAATCTTGCGAGGTCTTAAAGTTGCATATCGTCTGAAAGGCACCTTTATTAGGAATGGAATGGCAAACAGAAAGTATGCCACAACCTTACTAAGGTCACAAAAATGCCCTTTACAAAAAACCCTTACAGACACCATTGAAGGAATGGTATTCTAAATAAATGTAGGAAATCAACAATGTTTTCCACACTTTTCCACTCCGAAATATATCCTATCGAATTCGCCACTTTCTCCTGCACAAGACAACGCCTAGTTTGGCTGCCGAAACTTGCCTGAACACGGAATATTCACATTAGAGTATCTTAACACCCCACTCGAGGAGCGCTAGGGCAAACAGCACGATATAGGTAGGTTCCGGACATAGGCGAATAATTTTACTTCGTGATTTATATGATGCATATTTTCTGAGACACATTCATTAGGAATAGGATGACAAGCGTAAATTATACATACCGTAACCTTATTAACCATCGCACTTGTGGGGAGGGGGAGGGGGAAGGGGTTGGATAAAACCCCATGGTTTTCCGCAAATTACTCGCGCAAAAAGCGGCCGATCGCGCCGAAACTTTCGGTGCCCTCGAGATCATCAATATTACATCTAACCTAAAAATTTCATGACTCTGACCCAACTGACCTTTGACCTGTGGCATATTTCTCGAGACCATGTTTGGCCGGAATCGCGATTCGGCGTATGCCAGCTCACATTATCCGCGGTTTCCAGTCTTTTTGTGGTTTTAAACGTTCAAATATGTGAAATGATGTTGGTGCCATGCATAATGGTGGGTGGCAAGGTCACGTGAAGGTCAAGTCAAGGTCATTGACCTTTTGATGACCTTGGTTCACTTTTTCGAGTTTTACTTGTTTCTAGGGTAGTTTTTGGTGCTGATTTCGATTTTAGCAGCCATTTGAATATTTACGAAGTAGTTCTGGTGCCTTCGTTCCATGCTACGAAGCTATCAGTAGTAAGTGACACTTCTATGGATGGCCGGCAGGACGCCTACTAGTTGATCTAACCTGACCTGACCCGACCTGGCCTAAATGCATAAAGACATCGTCTGTGATCAAAACTAACATGAAATTCGTGATCAGCACCCCAAAATACCCCGTAACACCCTAACTTTGCGAAGTTTCAAGAGGTCTCGATTTCCCAACTTTAGTTGGGTCATTAAACTGACTTGGAAAGTCAGCTTATGACCTTGGACTTTGAAATTGGATATATTCGGCCTCATTTCGTCATAGGCAGCACGCTTGACTTTTCCGCGAAGCTCTAGCTTGATCAGGGGCCAAACGGCTGAGCGGGGGGTCCAATTGAACCCCCTATACTATGTTGATTATGCACATTTACAGGTAAAATTCTCACCAGGACACACCAGCCAACATATGTGCACAATCTGGCTACAATTCTACCTATGGTTTGCCCTCTACGAATAAATACGTGCTAGATCGGAAAAATCCCCACTGTGCACTGGGCAGAGATAACTTTCGGAAGTTCGTGATTGCTATACTGGTTTTGTTATAAATTGCATGGTAGGACATCAATCATAAAAATGTGAGGAACCACTGTTGGAGCTCTAATCCAAACGCCGCCGCCGGGGCTGCAATAATTTTCCCGCAGAGCAGCTAATCGGCCGGCGGCCGAGCGCTTCCAGCGCTATTAGCTGCACAATCTCCACTGGCTGCTGTATGATAACCTCTGAAACAACCGCTCCTGACTTCAATCCTGATAACATCCGCCACAATCTCTCCTGACTGCTATCCTGATCAGTGTCAGTGTCAGTGTCAGTATAGGTGTCGGTGTCTTTGTGTCAGTGTCAGAGTAACTACTCACCGGGTCCCAGGCCTTGGCGCCGCTGGTGTGTCAGTATCAGTGTGTCAGTGTGTCAGTGTGTCAGTGTCAATGTGTCACTCACCGGCTCCCAGGCCTTGGCGCCGCCGGTGTGTCAGTATCAGTGTGTCAGTGTGTCGGTGTGTCAGTGTCAATGTGTCACTCACGGGCTCGTAGGCCTTGGCGCCGCCGGTGTGTCAGTATCAGTGTGTCAGTGTGTCAGTGTGT